CTCCCTAATGCCATTAAGTCCCATTAAGTTAACAAGTCATAAAAAAAACGTTCATCATCCAGAAAGAAGATACTGTTGGTAGCAGCAATTGCTCATGAGTTCACGAAATCACGAAATAATCGCAAAAAGCCCAGCTCAAGCTCTCTTTTGAGATGGCTCAGGGAGATCCTCCTACTTTTTCCAGAACGTTAACTGGACCGAAATTTTACCCTTTTTATTGTTGCGAGTTGTTATCTCTTTTCAATAACTATTTTCTCCAGAGTTATGCAAGAACGCCAAGAGCGTCGAGGTCTTCTGCTCCTGCGTAAAGAAATCTTCTATCAGGCTGTACAGGTACAGGAAATTTTCTTAAATCAGTTCCGGAAAGACTGCCATTAGTAAATGCTATTCAAGAGCGGGATCAAGTCCGCCGAAGCACAAAAGTTAGCAGAGAATGCCGTCAACGAAGCAAAGGAACGTTTGGCAGCCCAAAGAAAAGCACAATTAGAAGGTAAAGAGGTACGAAGGAATATGGGAAAGTTTAACGTAACGAGAAAAGATTTCTGAAGCTCTTATAAGTTTCAGATTGCTGAAGAAACCGAGAAGCAAGAGAAGGTGAAACGAGCAGAAGAGGAGCAACGATTTTACGACTATGCTTTCCAAATGGCTGAGTTCGTTTTCAGCTTTTTCTTGAGTTTCACTTGCTCTACACTTAGCGTGTGGTCTATTTTAGAAAAATGTTGTATCAAGATGACATTCTCGGTGACGGAACTAAGGCACGTAAAACAATCAAGCCGGATCCAACATTGCCGTCATTGCTGAAAGGATCGAAACGGCTAGGAATATGGAAGAATTTGGAGGGATATCAGGACAATAGTCTCGGATTCTGGTCAGAATGGGATCTCAGGGCCGCAAGGTACGTTTTTAACATTTCGACCATTGGAGAATTAATTGAAGCGAAGGGTTCATTAAACGGAAAAGTGTCTGACTAGAGAAGGGAAGCTTTCTTAATGATATAGTGGGCTAGCGGTAAGACTTAGTACTATTAGCCTCATTCCCTTGTTATTGAACGCTTTGAGTTCTGAGCGCCGTTCTCCAGCATCGTTTCAATCAAATGAATGAAATCGCGTTCATCTGCAAGTTGCTCCTTTTCTTCTGTTTGGAGTCTGGCCTAGTCTTTTCGGGAAAATTCTTGTGAAATGAGGATTACCTTCAGAATCCCCTTCCCGTTACGACTCACTTTCTCCATCCTGCAGTCCATCGTCCTAAATTTCCCCAACATCCTGTACTTTTCTAGAACTCTTTTGCAAAGATCCGCACTTCTTCAACAAAAAACTGCCATGGAGCAGGGGGTGGGGGAGATGGGGGGGTGGGGGGGAAGAATTCAAAATCTCCTAAAATCAGCAGACGTTTTTTCACAGTGTTGTACAATGCCTCTCCTCCGTCTTCCAACAATGAAAGACATGAGCGAGGGGAGGGACGAACTCCGTTTGATCAATATTTTTTCGTTGTCAGACGGCCCCCTCCCCCCCCCCCCCCCCCCCCACTTCCCTTCCCACTGCATGGTACGCCATCGTTGTGGTCATTAACAACGGAGGGGGGGGGGCGGATCGTAATTTTGAGTCAGAGTACAATTTTTTTTTTTGATACTTGGAGGTTAGATTTCTCGTGTTTCACGGACCCCCCCCACCCTGGAAGAGGGGGGGAAAGAGTGGCACGCGTAAATCTTCGTCAATTTTTTGCGGACCCCCCCGCCCGACGGCTCGGTCGCATGAGGAAGGACAGAGGGGCTGGCAGGAGTGGTCGCTACCAACTCCGGCAAAAAGGGGGGTCGTATTTTCAGTAGGAGATATTGAGGGGGGAGGGCGTATTTTAAGAAAATGATCCAACCGCGACTGGCGTTGCCGCTTTCCCGTCACGTTGGCCGACCGATGCTGGAGTGTGGGTTGTATTGCGAAAAGAGTCTCAATCGCGAATGGGTGTGCCACCTGAGAGGAATCAAAGCAAAACTTTGCGTTACGCTATCGTGGTAAAAATCACAAGCTGTAAAAACATTTGATACGGCGAGAAATCTCACGCCGAACGGAGTTGGTGAGGAGTTGCAAGCTGTTGAGACACACATGTCAAAATATTAATCAGTTTGTAAAGAAAGTTGAGTGCTGAAAGTTTTAGGTATCATGAAGCAATCTTTGGGGCCGAGACGAACTCGTTCGAAGACAAATAGAATGACGAATCAAGGAAAACACGATGCCATCAATTGACTTAATGAGTAACTGCTTGGGCTCGAAGCTGAGGTTTGTTATCTCTTTTCTATCTTTCTTTTTACTTTCTCTTTGCTCTTTTCTGTTTTTTTCACTGAAAGTACTTTTTTCAAACAATAACTGAAATGACTGGCCAAACTAATATATTATGAATTAGATTTTGAACTTTTCTAATTAGGTTCCATTCTCCATCTAAGCACACATTTTCTTGGAAAGGCATCTAGCTGGCTTGGGCCTCCCGAAGGATGGTCCCATTGCACACTTCATGGAGTTGGTGAGTAGAAAGATAGACATTTTTGTTATTAATTTGTCAACAGTTTTTCGAGGAATTCAGGTAGCCGGCTGATTGATTTCAGTCCCTTTTAGGTATGTGTCGGTCTGTCAAAGAATCCATATATGACTATAGAGAAGAAGATGGATCATATAAAATGGTTCGCGAATTTCTTCAATGAAGAGAAGCAAAAACTGATCCACAAATTACATGAGGAAGAGGCACTGACCGCACAACAAGCGTAGCGCGATTTGATAGTTTGTAGGATCTTCTAGCTGTTAGGTTGAAATGTTTTTGTTACCATTTTTTTGTTGTTTAGCTTGAGAAGCGTTTCTGTATATAGTAGTCAATCAATAAAAAAAGTTTTCTACCTGTTGATCCTACCTTCTACTCCTACTAACGCAGTTATCAACTTCCATCTCGGTTTGGTTTTTTGCCCAGAAATAACACAGAAACGGCTCAAAGAGATATCAACAATAACGGCTCAAAGAGATGTGGTGAGCTACAGCAATGCGAAAAGAGTTAGAATTGATCAACACAAAAATAAATTCGGGAGAAGTGTAGTGGAGTAGGAATACCTCTAGCTTTTAAGGCGTTTTTTTAGGCTGTGGAGCAGACAGGGGAGTCGTATTAGGGCTACTTGACCAAGGTCGCCATTCTAAAAAGACGGGAGAAGAGCAAGGATTGTACGGTAGGGACAGGGACATTCGTAAAGGGGTGCAAGAATAGGAAAGTACGACCCCTAACTTCAAGTTACCTCCTCTGTTACAACCACCCCCTCCCACCCTTTCCGTCCCCGTCTTATCTATAATCTTCTTAAAATTTTCCCCATTCCCGTCTTACCTACAATCTTCCTATGTTTTCCCGGTTTCCTACCGTTTTCTTTTTGACCACTTTTTTTTCAAAATTCTCCTTTTTTTCTCCGAAAAAAAAACTGCTGTCGAGCGGGATAGGGCGAAGATGGCGAGAGGTAAGTAGCACACGTTGAAAGGGGAGAACCGAGGAGTCAACAACAACCGAAAACATTTTCTCAAAGGCAAATACGGCCCCGCTCACCTCGCTCGGAATCTCCAATATGTGCTCGTTGGAAAAATTCTTCGAGCCATATCGTGGCGGCAGATCCATCCATCAGAAAAAAAAACTGTTATAATTAGGGATTCCATTGTATATATAG